CTTTCAGGCTCAGCCCAAGGTCATGTTGTTTTCATTCCCAGGATATCGATGATTACTAATGAATACCCGTTCGAATTTAAACGAGTACAATTTCCTATAAAGCTTTGTTTTTCTATGTCTATCAATAAGGCACAGGGACAGACACTGAAGGTTGCAGGCCTTGACATTACGAATCCCTGTTTTACCCATGGATAATTTTATGTTGCTTGCTCCCGTGTCAGCTCGGCAAAAAATCTATATGTGTATGCGCCTCACCAAAGAACAAAAAATATTGTTTACAAAGAAGTTTTATAACCTTAATAGATATTCGTACAGAGATAATTAAAGAAAATTGTAGTTTTTTCATCCTCATTTTTTTTATATAATGTAGTTGAATACCTCCCGGGCTAAGCCGGGTGAACCAGCTATTATACTATACAGTAAGTAATATTATATGGTTATTAATTTACGAAAGTTGGACGGCTTCATGGAAGGGGGTGTCCAAACAACACTACTTCAGTTCTAGACTGATGTGGTTACACTTAAAAATATTATATAATTTACACTTAAAAAGACATTGCTTTCACAACGTTTTACACCCAAAAGGAGTTTTTCCCGGGCAACGCCGGGTAATTCAGCTAGTATAATTAATTAAATATCAAAATAAAATAATATAGAACTGAATTGAACACTGTGTTGTACATATGTGTTCAATAACCATGAAAAATAGTTTATAAAATATGATAATTGAAAATAATAAATTTCATCTCGTTCTATTAATTCTTATTTCTTAATATGGTGTTTAAAACATATTATTTTAACATGTTTCATGCATTTCTAAAAAGATGGGAGTTATTATGTAGTTAACTATAAAGACATTCTTAAGTAACTATATTTAATACTTTAATAATTTGTTAAGCAAACATAAGATATTAATTTAATGAAAAAATACTATTTAGAACTTAATATGAATAAAAATTAAACTATACAAGTCTATACCTATACAACTTTGTGTGACTATGATTAATTTTAGATTTTTACTTGAAGGTTCTCGCCAACAATTTAATTGGAATTGTTATTATTTTAGCGGGTCACAAGAGGTAGAAGAAAAATATATTTTATAATTAAACGACTAAAATAATTTTATAGTCAAAAATATAACATTTAAATATATATGTATAATGTTGACAACTTGATTAAAAAATAAAAATAAGCGCCCCATAACGTAGATTGTTACAAGATACAGCATATGCTATCAGTGCTCAAAATTGTATGTATAATATTCAACCATATTAATGTATCCAACTATGATATATATATAAAAAGTTTAAAAACTAATAAAACCTTTTGCTGATTACCTACCTAGTAGTATATTTTATTTTATTCATAAATCACGAAATTTGACTTGTATGAAAATCTAAATCTAATTGTATGTTACAGGTATTGGCATTTTACATTTTAGATTCCGATTTGTATTACATTATTACACTTATGTGTGTTTGTTTCATTAATTTTTTGCATTCCAAAAATCATTCATCGCAGTTTCCTTCAATATTGAACTGACTGGTGGCTCTGTTAAAATATTTCATCTAGTTGACATCAGTTGGACTAAGAAAAATAATAATTAAAAAAATGTATATATAATTATTAATTAATGATTGTTGAAACAGGAATAAACTAAGAAAATAATAAAAAAATAAAACAAACACAAACACAACACCAGTTATTCAACAAAATATTCCTTTTTTATTTTTATTTTATAAATTAAGAAATATTGTGATTTGAAATTTTCCACAAAAATTCATGTTTACTTTTTCTAGACTTAATAGCATCTTCATAGTATTTTAAATAATCGATTTATTTTTACATTTTTACGATCTATGTGCAAAACTTACAATTTTGTTTCTCAGTAAGCAACCTTGAAAATACGATTCAAAATTCCCCCATCTCCTTCGCAACGATTTTTTATTTTTGTAAACCATTATTTATCATTAAATTCTAATTGAATACATCTACTAAAATTACCTGTTTAATTGTAAGATCTAATCGAAACTTAACTTCATCATTGTTATTTCGTAGTAGCTTATAAATAGTTATCACTCCACCTCCACTGATTATAATATTCTGATATTCATCACTTTGTCATCAGGTGACCATCCATCAAAATAATCTAATCTAAAAATTTGAAATGTATGATTGATATTCTCCTGTGATTATAATATATTCTTACATCTAGGTAATATATACTAGTATTTAATCTAATTACGGGAAAAAGTAAAATACTTTTCCAAAATATCGTAAAAAATTTTTTTTTAAGAGTTGTTTACCGCAACTTATTGGAATACTAGCATTAAACTTTCGTAACAGAAACATGTGGTTAGTATTCTTGAAATGTGTGACAATAGCCAAGAAATGACGAATAATAAAAAATCAAGAACATGAAATATTTTTATTTTTTTGTTTTTATTTAAGTGTAATTTTATGAAACATTGAAATAATACTATTATATCATAAAACTAACTTTGAACAATTAGTTATTATTTTCATGACCTGTTATTTGAAAGTCTTTTCACATTGAGTATATAAAACATGTTTAATTGCGACAGACAGTTATCTATTTTGAGGTGAGACAAACAAAATCATTATAAAATTAATATGTATGTACATGGAGTTAAGTATGTCCCTACTTTTATCTCACTTTTCAAAATGGTTAAAAATTGCTGTTTTTACATTTGCTACATTAAATTGGTTTATTGATGGTTTGTATTTCTATGTGCAGTATTTGTTTTTCTAACACGATAAAAGTTAAGAAAAAATAGTAAGCACCCAACGCATTTTAAAATAATACGATTAGTATAATATTTTAATTATGAGTTTAGAACTTAAACAATTTTTAAATGAAATTTAGACATATTGCCTAATATATTCTTATCTAAAAATTATTATGATAATAAATAATATTAATATACTATTTATAACACCATTATTTAAAATGTCTGTTACTCACTAAAATGATCATTAATTTTAATTTTAACTAGTACTATATTATCAATGCAGAACTATAGTTTACCCTTGCATAATTATTTGTTGGTACTTTTCAATTTACATACGTATTGACCTATTATAAGTGCATTTTATACATTTCAATTGCGTTCAAGTCTTGTGAACATATTCAAAGTAACTAGCTAGAAAAATTATTTCAACTAGATGTTCCGAACGTCAATTAAGATTCAAGTAATCACGTGTTTTTTGTTACTTAAATTAAAAATCCGTAAATTTATTTCACGTGTAATTAATTAGTAAATCACTTATATTTACTTCAAGTGTGCTTAAGACATAATATTTACTTAACACATTTAATTTTAGTGAATTATTTAAAAAAGATATGTTAATAATGTTAGTAAAAAACTAAAAACTATAAATATTTATGTCTAATATTCTAAAAATAAATGTTTCATAAACAATACTATAGTAAAATGACAATACATGTTTATTAATGTAAACAATTTCTGTTGGACATATTTCAAGTTTCGTAGATTCTATAGATATAAGGATCTGGAACATGAACCGATTCATGTTAGGGAAGAAATTCGCTATCATGTTAAACATTTATTAAATTATTTTGTTGTTCTGTGTCCATCAGCAACTGCCACAACAACATACATCGTTCGGCAATAGCGATCTCAAATTTTTATATTGTAATGAAAATCTTCCCGAGAATGACATAGCTGATCAGTTTCAACTACATTCAAGACTACCTATCAAAAACAGAATTAAAATTTGACTTTGATCCATCAGGTTGGTGGAAAACAACGGGAACATAAGTATCCAGCTATAGCTAAGTTGTCATTAAAATATTTGACAATATCGGCAACATCAGTCGACAGTCAGTTCGGAAAGATGTTTTCCTAAAGCAGGTAATATAGTTACACCAAAAAGACACTGTTTGCTGTCGAAAAATATATGTTGATTTTTTTTTAGTAGAAAATTATTAGAATAAAAATGCTTATGTTTTTTTTAATATAAATTATTGTTATTCAATTTCATTTAGCATGTATAGTACCTTCTTATACCTTACTATAATTTAAAATACCAACGTACACATGAATATCTATTTATCTGTTGAGATTTATTAAACTACAACATATATTATATAATTAATTTATCGTAATATTATATTAATTGTATACTATTGTATTATATTATATAATACACAATATACTCGTATTATATATTACACAAATGTGCATGTGAAAATATTTTGCTTTTTATCCAAAATAAATAAAATTTATTTACGTAATTTTTGTATCAAAATTCATGAAATTGTATTTTCATTATTCAAATTGTTTATTTTTTCAATTATTTTTAAATCTATGTAAAATGTAAATAAATTTCACAATAAAACATTTGTCAAAAAACCACATAAAATATTCGTATGTAAGATGTTCTGTTCATGATCACCGGTTACTGCTATGTGGAAACTAAAAATCCCATTGGAATATACTAAATAAATTGAAAATAAAATTTCAAATACAATAATATACGCATGATTTAATAACAACATTCACGGATTCACGTGTAGTTAAATTCTTAAATTTACGGGAATTTATTTCACATGATTGGGTACGTGAATTTTAATTTTACGTGTATCCGTGAATTTAACTATTAATTTAGAGACCTCTAAATTTTAAACTATGTTTATGACGGCGTAATGTATAGGCAATCAAGGTACAATACGTCAATTTATACGAATAAACGGTTTCGAGGACTGTGATGAATTCAGTCAATAGTTGCAGTCTAATCGAAATATCAGTTATGTGTGAGAGTTGAGGATACAAGACCAAATGCAAAGTTGAATGTAGTAAGTAAATTTGACTTTATTAGAGCGAAATATTTATACCTACGAATTATTAATAATTACACTCGGTCACTGAGAATGATTGATGAAAAGACTTGGCTGACCGCCGGTCTGGGTTCATTGTCGTCACGGACCAGATTATTTGTCGTAGGACGTCAGTACGTCACAAAGGCAAGTCGCAACTTTTGCTATCGGACGGTACGTCCAGCCTGCACGAATGCGGTACGCTGCAGTTCTTGCACTTACGAATGTCACGGACCGCGTCATCTGTAAATAAACATTATAAAATGAAAACCTCATAATAATTTCTTGGATGCTTTGAAAAGTATATGTTTTTACATTTTTTTCTTTCAAACAAAGGTCCTAAATCGGACTAATGCAAGTTTCTTGCTCATATTACACATAATACATTTTTAAATAATGTATATACATATTACATTTTTCTTGGGTTCTAAATAAGCCATCAGTAAGATCAAAATACTAGGAATTATAATTCATTTAAACCATTCTCATATTATTTGTAACAGACATGTTTGTAAGTTCGAGGTAACAATTAAGGGTTACAATTAATCTTTATAGTTTTTTTTTTAATTTGGTTATTAGAAAAATCACAATTTCTGTTTAAATTAGTTTTTGGAACTGCGAAATATTCTGCTATAACTTAATATTGTTTTCGTAGGGTAGTAAGTTTTCAACCGAAATTTTGAAGAGTTTCACTTTTTATTGATGAATAACACTCCAGAGCAATGTAGATCGTATGTTAACCATCGTTTATATTAGTTGAGCTAGGAACTAGAATTTGGAACCACAAACATCCGCTAATATTAAAGATGTTTATTATGAGGGTGACAATAATTGTTAAAAGTAATGACTTAATTATATTTCTTAATATGATTCCTTTGGTATTCAGTGATATCGTAGATTATAAGTATTTTAGATCGCCCACTACGGTACAAAATACGCTATTTACGAAATGCTGAATTTACTGTCAATTTTAGCGTTGATATCCAAAACTGATCAGGTGACTCAGTCATAAGATCAGTTCTAGATATCAACATCAAGATCGCTAGCAAATTCAGCGCGTATATTGTACAGCAATGGACGATCTATAGTATTTATAATCAATGGTAATATGTATAAATTATATAATGTACTGCCAAACCTAGAATATATCGAAAATAATATGTATTTATTTATTTTTTATCTAACTTAAGTTTATGGCGTTAACCGTAGACTAAGAATATTATATTATTCTATTCTAAGTGAAAACGATATCAACTTGTGTACGGATGTACAAACTGTCTTAAAAATGTGCAAAAAACCTTTTAGCCAAAAATTTAGTGATATCAAACGAGTACGAAATAAATTTCATATCATAGTCAGATACAACAGAATTAACAGATGCTGGTAAAATAAAATACACTTAATTTAAACACTGGATTTTTTTATGAAATAAAGTTCATTATCTAGTTCAAAGTTTTTCAAAATGTAGTCTTAACATGTTTCAACAGGGATTCAATAAGAAAAGTATTAACTGGACCAGGAATATTGTCGTAAAGCGAACTATTTCCTCAATTTCAATAGGTTACTGCATGATACCGTTCAGAATAAATTATTCAGAATTTAAATCTGTTTTTATACCAAATTTAAATAAACCTAAACTTTGCATATACTTTCAGTTTCTTAATATAACAAATAACAAGTATACCTGCCTGAAAAATGTTTTATGTGATAATGTTGTACTGCTGTCTAATTATTATATTATTATCCAACATTATTATAGACTTCAACTACACATTTGTACCCTACTTAATCACATTAATCATCTTAAGTTGGCCAAAAATTTACAATCGCAAGGCAAAAGTAACTTTCTGATCAACCATCATGATAGATTACAAATGTACCTTGCCATCTTTATCTAGTTATCTGCATTTAGTAAAGAAATGTCTGAGATTACATTGAACTATGTTAAGTTGCAGCACATTATCGAATTCCGGCGCAACCTTCGCCACTTATTAATATTAATATTACATTGAGACTTAAGTAAATTAAGACTAAGACTCCATAGATAATATTTTACTTATGAATGTAATACAAACACAATTATAAATCATGTGCAATTATTTAAAATTGTCTTCATCCAATTTCTAACTTTACTAACTTTTTTTTTATTTATTTTATTATTTTCATTCGTTAAGTCGTTTCTTATTTTTGATACTTGGTTGTTTTGTAGATTTATTAAAATAATATTTTTAGTACCATAACACAGAAAACGAAGTTAAAAGTTCAAGTTCTAAATTTCCCTTGTGATTGTAGGTGTTCATTTTGTAAGAATATTTCAAATCTCGTCTCATTCAATCTAAAATGGTTTTTTTACTTTTCAAGACTATTTCATAAATAACTGGACTTTTTCAATTTTGACCTCTCAATAGTACCAACTAGATTCACTTTTTTATCAAAAAAATATGCTGATGTCGGAAATTGCTCATTTTTACTTGTCCAAATGTTGATATCAGACAGACAAAAAAAATACACATCGTTGTAAAATCTTTCAGTCATTCGATACTCTGGATTAGAATCTGAATTTGAGAAAAACTTGAAATTTTGCTCAAAATTGATTTTGTTTTTACTTTTTTTTGGAGTAACTCGGAACAAACAACCGTAGATACTAGACATTTTCACCAAATGCTTATAATAGCATTTCTTGTACTTAATTTGTTATTTAGAACATTATTTTATTTCAGATTCCTCATAACTTGTTAACATCCCAATCAAAAATAATTGACAATACATAGTGCCAAACTTTTTCATGGATTTTCTTCCAGTTCATAACTTCATTTCCTCGTTGGTGTGGTTATCAAATAATTTAAAAATGTATGTGAATACTGAATACTGGATAGGTCATTACGAGATTTATTAAATTAAGTAATAGTTTAAATTTAAATTTCTTAGTTTATACTTTACCTAAAATTGAATTGTTTCTGTTTTTGAGATAAAAGTAAAAAATCAACTGATGCATATATTTTAAAACTTAAAAATAGCAACATATGTCAGATATACTCGCACTGTACAGTTTATCGACTGTTGTATATTTTGAGATGTACTAAATGTATTTTTTAGTAATTAAACTTTTTCAAAAGGTTACTTACTTTTTTGTACTTTAAATTAAGGGAAGTCATTATTCTATAATATATAACATAATTATGAAATAATTAATGAGTATCAATATTACTTTCTATTAGTAAAATACACATATATATTAGGCATGTTTTAAGGCGACAAGAAAAAAAAATTTCTTATTTCTGAAGGTCCCTCAAGCTTAAATTATGTATATGTTACCGCCAATGATATCAATTTCTTCAATATCTTCTTCTTGGTTTAAATTAGTGGTTTCATTGAGTGGAAATCCAACTGACGCTACACCAAGTCTTACAGGACACCCAAACATGGCCTCATACGGTGATCTGCCAATTCCTATTTAAATAATAAATGTGGTTAAGTTTAAAAAAATGTGAAAACGATAATAATAATATAAAATATTTTTAAAAATTTTTATATTATTAAAAATGTACTTTTTATTTACCTACCTAGTTCATGCTCAACTTTTTAAATTATCATTAAAATTACATATTCGTTTAACATAAAATTTAAATTTTTTAATACATTTTTTATTAATAATTATAATTCACAAACCTGAATGAAACGCGCGATTTTTTCTGAATTGAACAAATTTTATTTCCGATGGCCAATCTCTAGAATTATTTTCAGCCATCCATGTTGCCAAAATGTCTTCAACATCGCGATTCGCTCGTTCTACCGACCCTTGGCTTTGGCTGTGCCTTGGTTTGCCATGAACTATTTTAATATCACCCCACATCATATTAAGCTCAGTTATAATAGTGTTTACAAATTCTCTTCCGTTGTCAGAGTGGAGTATTGCAGGTGCACCAAATGTAGTATAAATATCGATCAAATTAAATGCTATTTCTTCAGCACGTTTTGATTTTAAAGGTCTAAGTAGAACGAATTTTGTTAAATGGTCTTGATAGTTCATGATAAATTTAAATTCATTATAACTTTGACTTTGCATATCGATAAGGTCAACTTGGGCTCGTGAATTGAATGCATTATGAAGTATGGGTTTAGAAACTAGGCCTCGCTTTGGATTCGATGATTTTTTTTCACAATGCATACAAAGACTTAAATATATCATAATAGTTTCCTTGGTAATATTACAATATTTTGTCTTTAATTCATAAACCATGCGGTCCCTACCACCATGACCTATTGCAATGTGACTATCGTGTAAAATATCAAATAATTCGTCATTTGATACATAATAGTGTACATTTTCTGAATTATTACTTATAGATTTAATAAGTCGTTCTTGCCCATTGAGTGTTATTATATCATACTTACGAATGTATCTGTAATCCTTTGCACTTTTCTTCCCAATTTTTTCCTTAGCTAATTTAACTTCTTGCAATCTTAACATATATTCTTCTTTGTTTAAAAATGATTTATTATCTTCACGTTTATTTTTCAATAAATCAGATAATGCTTTGTAAAATTTTTGACGCATTTCATTTGAATTCATTTTTTTAATAAAACAATTCAACACTTTTCGAAATGAAAAACTATACAAAACTATAAACTATATTATACGAAAGTACAACGTAGACTGTAACAATACTTATGTTAGGTTAGTTGCCGTGAGTATTAAAACTATAAAAGATACCTATTATTATTCGTTATAAAACATATACCTAATCTTAACGTGGGTTTTTAAAGTTAAAACGATAAAAGATAACATTGACTTCACGACGATAGGATATGTTATAATAACTAGTGAATTTATCAAATTATAACATCGTCTGATTTATCAAGTCAATGTTACAAATATATGTTGATTATAGATAATGACCAAGTTACCCAGGCATTATATTAATTGGCTAGTCAATATCATCATTACCTGAATTTACGACATTGACGGTAACATATACATCTAATAAAACGGTTCTCAGAAAATTTCAAAACAATTTTGATTTTTACTGGTTACGCAACTTGTTTTGAAAATATAATAAATTCTCCAATGTATGAATTAAAATATTTACTTTTCACGATAATATTATGTATTTTGTAATCTACATTATTTGTAGTTGGCATATTAATTAACTATTAATTGTCTCCGACTATAAACTAGCTCTGTTACACATTGAGTTATTATTATTATTATTATTAAATCATTAAATTAAAAAGTGGCAAAGTTTTTTTCAAGTTAGCTTCATGAAAATTTCAAATAGGCATACAAAAGTTGTATTCCATTACTAGGATAGTTGGTAAAATTGACATACGATTTGTATGTTGCATAGGATTCGATCTCTTTGGTGTGGTCACAAGCTATTTGCTGTCCTTTTTATAATGTGTTCTTCAAAGGTTTCATAGCAACTTTTAGATATCTTACGTAGATAATTTTATACTGTGATATAAATTGATATTATACTGTTTTGGTGTGATTCGGTAATATAAAACTGTCCAACAATTATTTTATAATATAAGTACAACTATAATTATACAATGCAAAAAGTATTGCTATTTAAAGAATATACAAAAATGTATTAATGATGTATTCCAGCGGTTCTTAACCTGTGGTCCGCGACCCCCTGGGGGTCCGCAATACTCATGCCGGGGTCCGCGGCAGCCTTACCACCTAACATAAGTTAATACGTGACATGAGTGCATATTATAATATTTTTGGATTATTATTTTTGTTTCATATAAAATTATAATCTTATATTGTCTGTCACGGCGGGCCGTGATATCGTAGGTATATGCATTTATGATTATCTCGACGTCATGGTTTTTTTTAAAATTTAAGTGTTTAATGATGTTAAAGTTTAAAATTAAAAACTAAGTTTAATAAAAATAATTTTAAATGTGTATATTTTGTTATGTCTACTTCTATAATTTGTAATATAAAATAGTTATTATAATTTTGGTTATGATAATTTGATATGTTTTGTAAAACAAGGTATTTGGAAAAAAATTAGTAGAGGGGTCCGCGATTTCTAAAAATATTTCATCGGGGGTCCGTGTTTTACAAAAGGTTAAGAACCGCTGATGTAATCATTCAGAAAATAATAACGAATCCTTAAAATAAGATTATCATTTATCACTTATCACTGATAATTTCTAGACTAAAGGTATACTCGTATTTTTATAACGGATTGACATGAAATGTGGTTCAAAAAATGTCAGTTTTCTTTATATTCAACTAAAAATTACAACGGACATAGCCGTGGTGTTAATATACTAGTATATAATGTCAGAGAATATCAATGATCACGGTCTAGCACTATTATACTCCAAGAGTAAAAGTCTTATTAGGTATATTCGTATATTGTTGAGTAACTCAATATCCACTGTAAAAGAACTTAAATGCTTCGATTTATTATTGCAGATTTTGATAACGCGGCGTAATGTATAGGCAAAACAGCTACACAACCGCATCGTCACACATATTATTTTAAAATATCATATTTTAATATAGATAACCTAAAATATTCTTCGTATAGAACAATAATATTTCTTATAATATCATTTTCAAGTGTTCGTTACATAATTGGAGTTTGGATGACGTTCGTCTATATTACTATACACTATTAAATAGATCATCAGGTATTTCGGGAGGATAGTGGGTATGCGATGTGGTAAACAATAAATTACAATAATCTAACAACGCACTTGTCGTTCAACGAATAGAATATATTTGTTGCAAATCTTACAGTTTAAACGATACAGACACGCGACTCACGTGCATAGCGAGGCGTACAATATATAATATATATATATACAAATATGAACCGTTGTTCGGAGAAAAAATCGTTATTATCATTCTTGTAGACAATAATACAAATTAAAAAAATGTATTTTAATATTAATAATAAAAAATAATAATTAATAATAATGATAATCAGTAAAAATAATATTGTGGTATAATAGTCCACGTACAATATATAATTAGGCTTGCGTTTTGGGTAGGGGTGAGAGAGAGGTCAAAACACACACGTTTGCGGGCTAATACATACATGACGCGACGTATACGTATATAGTAAATGGCAAGCGTACCGCCGGTAGTTATTAAAAAAAAAAAATTATGAAATTAACCATACTAATAATCATGATAATAATAAGGATTATAATAATAATAATAAAAATAATAATAATAATAATAATAATAATAATAATAATAATAATAATAATAATAATAATAATAATAAAAAAATAAAAAAAACTAATATACGGGTATTACACATCATAATATAATATATATAAATAATAATAATACAAATATATATTATACGTAATGACTACAGGTAATTAATAATATTGATGATTTGTAAATATACAAAAACAGTTTTTAAAAAAAAGTACAAAACTTGGTGTTTTAATAAGAGTTAATATCTCCTACACCAAAACGGTGAGCGACGGTGGAGCAGCTTCGTCGTCACCAGCTTCCGAGCTATGGTTGGTATTGTTGATGTTGTTGTTGTTGCTGTTATTGTTAGTCGGTGTTGAGTGCAATAATGACGCTGTATAGTGTTGTTGCTGCTGTTGATTATGATACTGTTGTTGGTTAGGTTGTACATGTTGATTAAGAACGTCTCCACGACTGCGACGGTTGTACTGTTGCGCTGCTACTTGCTGCTGCTGATGAAGTTGTTGATGTACTGGTAGTTGATGTGGTTGGTGAGCGAGTTGTTGTTGTTGTTGTTGTTGTTGTTGTTGTTGGTGTAGTGGTAGTTGATTTTGCTGGTGTAACGGTTGTTGGTGTGGTTGCTGGTGTATCGGTGATTGTTGTTGCCGTTGTTGTTGCATCAATTGCAATTGTCGTCGCTGCTCGTTGTCCACGTTCAAAGTCTTTTTGCACAACAATAATGGTTGTGGTGCTGCTGCGGCCAATGGCCGTTGTTGTTGTTGTGGTTGTTGCTGTTGTGGTTGTTGTTGTTGTCGAGGTACGGCTATAGCTACAGATCTAACGGCAGCAATTGGTGGTAATGCTGCGTTTGTTGTTTTCTCTCCACTCTTTTCGTCGACTACATTCATTCCATCGACATCACCACCTCCGTTCAGATGCTGTTTCCGATGCAGTTCAGGTGAAGATCCGTCGTCAGCTGAAGTGACATTGCATAACGGGTGAACAATGCTGACACGCGAACAACTCAGAGATGATCCCGCCGACAAATTATTGCGTCCGCAGCCACTTCCACCGTAGTCACCCCCGGCGGCCGTCACGGCAACCCGGTTTCCACCGGTTACCAACCGCTTGAGGTTCTCCTCGTTTTGACGTCGCACCAGAGACAACATCAAACTGTCACCACCGGCCACCGAAGGGTCAACGACAGCAGATGAAGAATCCGACGTCGTTTGTCCACCGTTCGATTTCCTCCTGGCGCTGCTCCGGAAGCGTAGTAACAGGAACGCCGCGGCCGCCAGCACAGTGGCCAACGCTCCGCAGGCTACACCGATCGTCCAATAGTAATAGTAGTAATGGCGGTAATCTGTGAAAACACAAGTCTGGTATTAGTGTTATTACCGAGCACCCGATGGTGGGAATAACCACGGTTTGTCAGCTGACGACATTTGATAACATATAAATTAAGTCCATACAACAGTATGTTAGCTGAGACGAATAAAACAATTTAAAAAGGAGTATTTTGGTGGCCTATAATTATTAATTTAGATTGAATTGATTGCTCAAATATCACCACTTGAGTGCAAAAAGTTATATTTACTGTACTGTATTTTTTATAATAATGTTATTGGTAGTGTTAAATTATAATAAAACATAAAAAATAAATAAATATTGAATGGTATTAAGAATTCGTATCGTTGGAACCTTATCAGTAACCGAAAACATATATTCACATACCTATAAACCAATGGATAGCACTTTGCACATCTTATCATCAATATAATATATGGTGACCAAGGAAATGAGAGAAAGAACACAAAGTACTCGTAATAAATCGTGGGTGAATATTACTGTACTAATTATTGCCTTTACATTTCAGTTATCAACCAGAAATACATGCCTTCATAACTACGTATGTCAACAATATTTCATAAATCAAAAACCATATATTAATCAGCCATCGGGGAATAAACTATAAGAATAATATTAATAATAGGTAATAACAATAATTACTAATATAATATCAATTGTGTGATATTATAAGATATTTTTTTATTAGGTGCATTTTATTAATTTGTCCATCTCAGCCTTTGACTCCTCTAAGCACTGGCCATTAGCTTGTAGGTATATCGATTAAACAGTGTTAGTTATTAAACGGTCGCTGATTAAAATATGTCAGAAATTCAATGGGGTGGTCGCAAAATACAAATATCGCCCAAACAGTGTGCTTGTAAAGTATGTATCTCGCCACTATCTTGAATATCGTTCAACGCTAATACTTACCATCGTTTGAAGAACCGGACGAATTGGCCGGAACGGGCGTTGAATGGGATTCCGCCATCACACCGCCTCCGAGGGAAACGTCCACTACGGCGGCCGTTAAGAACGCCAGCGCTGCCGCGTCGTCGTAGTCGTCAACACCGCTGTTTAGTGTCGGGCGAAGACGATGACCAGCGGTTTGAACTTTTTTCGTTGACGTCACCGTCGATCCGGCCATAGTGCCTCCGTTGAGTCGTTTATAAAGCGTTTGGACGGCCCGTCCAACGACCGCTGCAACATCAACATCGTCGTCCTCTGCCACCGTTGCTGTGATTCTTCTCTGATGCTGTTGCTGCTTATCCGTCACGACCGCCTAACATGGGTTCACACAATAAGTAAACAATTCAGATTTCTGGTGCCGGATATAATATTCGGGTGTTCAAACGCCGGGATTGAAAACTTTAACTAACATTTAAGGGCTCATAATTGTTGTTAATCGGGATAGTAAAATGTCTGGAAAAACTTAATTTCAAAAGTATGTATACCAGGTAAGGTTGATAACGTACACAGTCTTATTATAACACTATAATGATAATGACTGTATAACTATATGGTCATTATAACTTCTAAAATAAGATTTATTTTATATTATTTTTTTATTTTTTTAACGTTATAAGAAAGTTGCTTTAAATTATCAAGCATAAGTAATTAGAAAAAATGTTTGTCAACATAAATAAAGATATATTTAAAATAGTTTACTAGGTATTTCAAATGTTTATATAAATACCAAGTACAAAAAGATCTAAAACAATATTGAAAAATCATGTTAGTATAAATATTTAGTGAAAATCTCTAATATTCACGAAATAAAATATATGTACACTATATAGTATACGCTATACATTTTTTATTTAAATTTAAAAATAAGATTAACTTCGTCATAAACCGGTGTTGTGATAATATTCCAGTTTAATTTCCTTTTATTTTTATTAATTTAGTTTTCCCGATTTTATTGAAAAACATTGGGATTTTTAAAACGAGTTTCGGTCAATCATGTTGTACCGTGCTATTATACGTACCAAAGACACTCGAATGGTGACGCGGCGCCGTCGGCGTCGTCGGCGGGTGTTGCCACTACTTCCGGCACCACCGCCGATTCGGTCGTCGTCGTTATTATCTCGCTGATCCTCGGCCGCTTCGCACATAACGTACACTCTATTTCTTCTGTACTCCACGTCGTCATCTTGGTTCAAGTCGTCGTCTTCGCCACTGCGAACCCATTCCCTGGCGAGCAATCGACGGAGACTATGGCATACGGCCGATACCCGAGTACCACGCCTAAGACGCGCCGGATCCAGTGTAATGCGCAACCGGCCGCAAGCGTCACCACGGCGACGGCGATGCTGCTGGTGCGGCTGACGTTTGTCACCGGCCACGCTGTTTGGCAGACAGTGTTGGACCACCGACGGCCACACCGTCGTGGGTGAACTGTCCTCGTCGTCGTCATCATCACGATCGTCGTCCACGTCGCTGTCGTCCACAACCGCGGTCGCGCACTGACCCCGGCGACGGCGCCTCGGCCACGAACCCACGGCCACGTAAGCACTGTGGTCATCCTGGCCGCCGTCGTCATCGTAACCGTACCGAAGCCGAACGTCATCCCTGTCACGATCCGCGTCCACGCCACCACATGGTGGGCGCAAACACTGACGCCACAAAAGGAGAGTGTCCACCGCAGTGGCTGTTCCGTCGGTCTCTCCTCGCTTGTCCAGGTCATCTTCAAGTAGTTCCTCGTCGTCCATGTCGTCTATGATCGGTACGCACACCTGCAAAGAACACAAAGACATATTTTATTTAATAAATAGGAAAACCATCAGTCAGGATTGGGTGGGTATTCTATTTACACGAATTATATCTTGAATTTTCAATAACCTTTTCAGATCAATTAAATTTTTACTCAAATATTTCGATCATTTTGAACTTTCAAACTTTAGTCGGATCACAGCATATCATCAAATCATTAAAACCGGTAAGGGCCATATGGGAAATACAAATAGTATTCTAGAGTACGGCTATTTGATGGAATTCGGGAGATTTTGAGAAATTATCAATGCAGACGACGCCTCGCTGCTTCATTGTATTGACCGCAAATGCATATAAGACGTGTGATAATTATACGTGGTGAAAGTTACCTGGTTGGTGCCGGTGCAAGGCATAACACCGCTCAGGCAGTCGAAAGTCGCTGGTCCACACCACATGTTGGTGCACGACATCACGGCCGACTTGTCATCAATATTGTCGATCATCGGCGATTTAGAGCTGCATTTGCACTCGTTGCAACCGTCGTCGGCGATCCAGTGTTTGCGCCTATGACGACCGCCTCCGCACATCACCGTGACGCCGTCATCGTCGAACTGCTGTTGATCCGAGTTCGCTACTGTTGACGCTGTAACGACACAAATAGACATGGATGCAAATTAATCGACCGGCGTTACAATTATTATGATAAATTGATAACATATGTATACCGCGAACGGTAACATGACAACAAGACGCGCATTTGTCGACGGCAATAAACTGCAGCGAATGTCGATGAAATATTATATTACATTTACATCAGTGGGTGATGGGTGGCGGGTGGGGTTGGACAAGGTGTAGGGAGCGTTGTAACGATAACACAATACCGTGTAATATTTCAGTTTCTAGATGGACGCAGGCGATGAAGTGCGTTCTTTTCGTACCAAAAAACTCAAACCTCGACGCGCATATATTATAATAAAGAAATAAATATATAAAAATACGTGCGCATATCTATAATAATATGTATTAATAACACGACGCGCGCGCCCGCGCTTGTAAAACTACGGCGATGGTCGCGGCCGCGTCCAGTCAGCGGGGCGCCGAACTGACGGAGCTTACACGCCGCCGCCGCCGCCGATTGTTTTTCAGCTCTCGCGGGACGAGACCGGCGCACGACGGACGACGACGTTTTCCCATTAGACCCCCGCGGACGCCGTAACGACGGCCGCGCAGCAGCACGCCGTCGATGAGAAACCACCGCCGTCGTAGTTTACGACGGTCGCCGCCGCCGTGCTGCACCGCACGCACGCGCACGGACGCGCGCGCGGCCGCACACGTTTTCACAAACGGATCGGCCGCGAGACGGCGGTCATTATTATTATAACGACGTGCGGTGCAGCTATTCGGCGGGTTAGGTGACGCAGTGGATGCAGCGGGGAGCGGGTTATTATTATTATTATTATTATTATTATTAACATTACTCGTCCGCCGTTATTTGTTGTTTGTAGGCGGCGGCGGCGGAGGCGGCGGCGGAGGTGGTTTCGAATTTATACATTATTCAAACATAAAAAATACGTACAAATATAATATTACGTATATTATAATATGCACCGCCGACGCGGAGAGACGAACGACGACCGATGACGTGCTGCACCGCCGCCGCTGCTGACGGACGAGCGTTATTGCCGCCGCATAATATTATACCGGACGATTCTGGCGGCCGCGCGCGCGCGAGCTCAAAATAGTGCGCGGCGCGCGGACCCAGCGTGACACCGCCGAGTCTACCCGCTGGACACCACCACTGCACCGCGGCGTGCGCGCACATTTAATAACGAGATTTCGTTTACGTTTTTTTTTTTTTTTTAAGTATATATAATAAATTACGTAAAAAATCGATATACACATGCTGCGTATATACACTATATTATAATATTATACCGCGAGGCTATGTATAATAATAATATAATATATGAATGACGGGTAGGAAAAAAAACTGTACGTAAATTAGAAATACGTCGTCCGCGTGTTTTCACATAATCATCGAATACACGCGTTGGGGTCTCGGAGATCATGTGATGGTTCCGGGAGGAGTGATAGAGAGCACAAAACAATCCTTTCGTTTATGGCTGTGTATATTTATATATATATATATATATATATATATGTAAATAGTTTATTTATGACAGATACAGGTACATCACCCGAACAAGTATCTCCATATAAGTACGAGACGTGATCACGACATAACATTATTAAACACTGACGTGCGGTGCTGTTTGTCGTTAACTATATTATTGGCACCACAAATCTCAGCTTGTTTTCGAAAGGCGCTATCGCTAAATTTCAACAATATTTGTTATGAATTGTTCATGATCATGATTCATGAGTCTTGCTAACTTTGTAGTGCCAACTTAATAACTCGTAATTCTCTAAGCTGCATTTCTGAATTCATATTACATGTTATAAATTATGGATTAAATAACTTGTCATCAGCGTCCAATAAGTTAAACAGGTAAATGTATGAAATAATTTTATTCGGTAATAATTTGCGGATTTAAAGAGCACGAAAATATTACCATAAATATAACTGGACATTATTATACGGCATGCTCATTACTTATAACAATTCAATCGAGCCCCACACAATATAATAAACTATAGAATATGCGCACAATATACTTATAATAATTCATCTAGAGACATACAATTGATGATAAGTTCTTTTCAATCATATCAGATATTATTAGCTATTTTAAATAAACAGTTTTGGTTAGGGCTGTAGCATCCCTCATTAATTTAAACCCAAGATGATTGTTTAAAAATTATAACAATTCTTTAATAGCAAGTTCGAGAAAAAAGCACTCACCTTTAGCACTGTCGTCGTCGTCTTCGTCACCATATTGCTTCTGCTGCTGTCGCCATGTCGTCGCCCCCGGCAATCCGGCGCCCGGTCGACGTATAGTGGCCACCGGCGTGATCGCCGTGCTACGCTGCAGTGGTGGCGTCGACGGGGGTCTAGTACTGGCCACCGTCGTCGTTGTCGTCGTCGTCGGTGCGGCCGTCGTGGTCGTGGTAGTCGTGGTTCTCGCGGTTGTTGGCGTAGTCGTCGTGGTCGAGGCCGTAGACTTGGTGGCCCCGGCGACGCCGCCGTCAGCGGGCACGGTACAATTCTTGCCGTGCCACGACCAACCGTCCCCGCTGCACTGGCAGTAATAATCATCCGGCGTGTTCAGACACTGGCCACCGTTCCGACATGGGTTCGGCGAACAATGGTCCCTGTCGATCTGTCAAAACGATAAGCCACGATGTAAAGATAAAAAAATAACTAATGACTCAGTGCTAGTTAGTACGAAGTTTTAATTTTAAAAAAAAATCACTGTATAGTTCTTATGAAATTAAAGATAAAAATTTACAGTTATATTGTTACATTGCATCAAAATATCAAAATATACAATTGAAAATGATTGCCACCTAGACGTAGCTGTAATTTGTATTATAATTATGCATATGAATTGATTTATAAGAAAGTAGATTTTTTATGGAAAATAATCACTTTTAGAAAAGTTATAAACACAAACTAAATAAGGGTTGTGACTTATGAATTATATATTAAAAGCTTCTAACAATTCTGACTTGACGGTTTAAGTTTTGGACTGGTTTAATACCTGTCCTTTAATTCGCCAGGGTCTCTTACCTCACAGTTTTCGCCTGAATATCCTAACGGACATATGCAGGAATAAGTCTGCTGTTGCTGTTGCTGTTTGGCCGACATTCCACTCCCTCCTCCACCACGCCAACGTCGTGACGGTACACATTCACCACCGTTTTTGCAAGGATTCCCACCGCCAGCCACACCGGATTCGCTATCGCCACCACACGGGTCGATTTGAGTTCTACAGTTCCGACCTTTGAATGACGAAAATAAATATTAAAAATTATATAATGTATAGGCATGTAATAATTATTATTGTACTACGACGATGAACTGCAATATAGATACACTCAGTGACTTATATTAGGTTTATCTTACATATTATACAAGATGTACATAATAGTATTACTACATTCTACGTTATTAAGAGGAGCAGTATCAAAATGTTTTTACATAGACAATAATATTGACATAACTTTTGTTCACTCGATATTATATTAAATTACACAACGATATGCTTGTGTGAAAAGAATTCTTGAACACAATTTAAAATTAAACTATAAATTATTATGGTCTCTTGAGATTGATCTATAGACCACTCGTATAAATTATTAATAATTTCCATAAGTTACATGATTACATTAATTTTAAATATCAACGTATTGTAAAAGATTAATTTGACCACATATTAGTTGTAGAGAGATCGTTTCATGTCTCCACTCGCCTCAACTAATGATATATTATTATTTTACTAGTTGAAAGGTGTGATAGATTATTGTATTTAAAAAAAAAAACGATTGTAATAAAAGTTCAGCTTATTTCATATTATTCAAATGTTTTACTACTGTTATATAATACCTAGTTCACGATTAATTAAAAATGATTAACATACAAATATTTTCTTAATTAAAATGTATCCAGATAATAACTGGAGACAAATTTTGTGAATAGATTTCGTAGTGATTATAATATCTCACATGATTTTATTGTATAAAGTCAAAAGTATAAAATATCTATGTCCAATACCTAATCGATCTATGAGCTACAACTTTGGCGCACTCTTTCCACCCAACAAAGTGGTCACGCATATTACATAAACGAAAAACACGGCATATTATATAGGTATAGCAGAAACTATAAATAATACATTTTAACTGGTACAACGATTTGTACCTGCAACAACCTCTTGGTTTATGACACTATTATTGCAAAACTATTTTCAACAATTTTCATCACAATCCAATTTTATTTATTATTCGTGTGTTGCTACTATTTAAGTGCGCGTGTGAACAAGTATTGGCTATCTTATTGTTCAGGGTTACGCGTTAGATCCACGCCCTCACGAATCACGCAGCATGCACACCAACGTTCGATTGCTTTTACGCAAACGAGCAAGCCGCCCAACCATTATGGCAAAACAAATTGCCTATACATAACCCCTTAAAAATTATCACGCCCAACATCCACCCTTTGATATATTATTACCACAATTCTATTGTAGAATATTAAAAATTACTTAAATGAGTGATGCAAATAATGCAAATTTAAAAAAGAAAATGTTCTTATTAGATAATCTAAAAATCATTAAAACTGTTTGGTACAGCAGAAAGTTTGGTTAGTTTCAAAACGGACCTCCATACAAATTAGTTAGTGACCCCGTCTCCATAATATTAGGTATAATAGCTACTCGTATTTCGATAAAACATTAGCAAAATACTGATATTGAGGAATCTCAAACTATAATAACTTGCTTACTAATTACTTAACAGTTATTATATATTATATTACTAACCGGTAAAGCCGACCGGACACGCGCAGGTGTAGCCTCCGATCAAGTCCAAGCAAGTGCCACCGTTGGCGCATTTCACGTCCGGTCCAGCGCAATCATCCACGTTCACGGTGCACGCAAGGGCGGCCGCCGAAGTTCCATTGTGACCATCCCTAGAAGCCGTCATTGCCGCCACCGTCGTCCAACCCCTTCGGCACACGCATTCCGTGGTCGCAGCGAAGTTACTTCCACCCCCATTCGTTCTGCATGGCACGGCGTTAGGACCACACTGATGCTCGACTGCACCCGATTGCCGTTCCCTGTGCTGTCGTTCGCATTCGTCTACATCTATAAACGATACAAAAGTTTGTGATGATATTATAACAATATTATATCGACAAGCTACACGTAATAACAAAAAAGCAGGCAAAGTCTCATAGTGGTCGCCGTTACTTTTGAATAATACCTAACTCGAAATCTTCATTATATTTTATACAAACATACCGATTTCGCATCGGCGACCACGCCAACGGTCGTCCGCACACGCACAACGCCAATCGGCCACCAGGTCAATGCACGATCCTCCGTTCAGGCACCGGGGCGGTTGAGTGGCACACTCGTCGATTTCTGTGGACACCACGTAATAAAACTATTAAATAATTGTACATTTCCGCACGAAAGAGAGTAGATTGTAAATTATAATACATATATACATGGCTTTAGTGTTGCTATGTGCCATTGGGTTACAAGTCTACAACAGTATTATTATGTAATATGACCGCCGCTCAAGTTTACGGCACACCACACGTGCCGCACATGCTTGAGTCGTCGACTGCCTCTTAACCCTTTTTGGACCCACTTCCCCACCGGACTACCCGCACTTACTTATGAACAAGACCGAGATAAAACAAAACGTCAAAACGTTTTTTTTTTTTATAAATAATATTATTTTTTCTCCGGTCATCATGGTACAGTCATCGTAATTATAACACTATGCCAGTGACATACCGAAATGTCATCGTTGTCATCGCCGCCACCGCTGCCATCGCCTCGTATGTACTATTTAATAACGTGTGGGCGCGCGACGTACACATATATCGCCGCCGCCGCTGTAATGACTTTGCGGATAAAACAGCGGTGGTACTCTGAGCCCCGCGTGTTTACCATAACAACAATAACGACGTCTCAGGACGACACACGCGCAACAAACCAACAAACAAACAAACAAACAAACACACAACAAATCGTCAACGACTCGTCTCCTTTCTCTTTGTGCGCGAGCGCGAGCGCGCGCGTGTAATAATTTCGGAATCGGAATTTTGAATAATAATATCACGCGTGATTTAAATAATAATTCGTCATCGTCGTGCGGTGGCGGAGCGATCCCCTCCCCGCCCACCGGGCCACTAGCCGTAAGTATACGCGCACACACGACGACGACGACAAAATTCGTAGACGAGTACCCACTTGAAGACAGCACCCCCTACTTCCCCTCTCATGCCCACGTCATATAGCAACCGACAGTCCGTCGGCCACTCTTCGTTAAAGTCTCTCGACTAACGCTGAGGCTGTTTTCTCGGGATATTCGCACATGTCGTATAATCACGGCGATTATTAAGATTACACATCAATACATTATACACACACACTGCTGTTTTGCTCTCTCTCGTCTCATCCCAGTCACATTGTTACATGCAGTAGAACCAGAACTATAATATTACCTATATATTCTATATGATTAATGTATTATATATATTAAAGTTAATTGACCTGTTATAAAATTTAAATATTAAATAGAAAGAACATATTATTTTATCTGTGATCTGTCTTTGGTTTTTTTCCGATATTTTTTTTTTCAATACAAGTTTCCTTTTTAATTGCTTATTTTAATAAACTAATAAGCTATTGGAAATACCACATTTTAAAATTAAGATATCTAAAAAAAAAATAATGGACGAGAGATCATCTCTCTCAGATAATATTCACATCATTAAATTCGATAATAGAAGGTCAATTAACTCTAATAGATATTATATATACTGTTCATGTTACATATATATATATATATATATATATTCACTCATTTAAATCCATAGTATTGGCCTTATTTTATTTTATGTTTATGTACTACACACTCGGGAAACAAACCGGTGTATACCTGTACAAATGATAGACAATAGTGGCATAAAAATATTCCAACTATATCAATACGGTATGCTATATAGTACTTCTAGTGTATATTTACACTCCTGCAGCGAACGAAACATTTAAGTATCTCTACCATCATATTCATATAAGTACAACATTAAAACACGCTATATACCTATTATATTAATTTATTAAATGAACAGGAAGTTCCTATATAGTACATTTTTTCCACCTAATAATATTAATGGATCCTTTCTTGGTCAGTTGTTATGAAAATAAAAATAAACTCATTATAACCTTATTTCAAAGATCTCATTCAAATCTAATTAAAAAAATAAATATCAAATAGACTAAAAATGCATAAATTAATTGCTTATTACTAGAAACTATAATCAGGCGTTTATTTTAGTTTAGATAAAATCAGATTTTTGCATATTTAATAACCCGGTCTTTCTAATGGTGAAAATTGCATTTTAAATGTAACTTATGTTCCAAAATAAAAAATCATGTTTTTTAATTTTTTAACAAATATTTTCAATTAAATAAAAAAGTCAACGCATCGAGACATCGAGTAGTTAACGTAATATATTTTTTAAATAAAATTAATTAGTAAAAATATTTAGTTCTTTGGTAGGGCATATCATATTTTTTTTACTAAAGAAATATTTTATCAAAATAATTATTTTAGGCGTTTTTTTCATATTTTTTTTTGTACCAACTTTGTGTTGTGTATATGATATGATATCAAACGTGAAATAATTTATTCATTTTACAAAGCGCAACCACGCAACTAAGCAGTGGAAACTCAAAGCCCTCAAAAAATGAATGTAATTTTCAGTGGATGACTATTGACTATATATATATATATATATATATATATAGCAATATCAATTATATATAAATAATATTAACTAAGTAATAGGTACGTTTATATAAAAAGTAAAATATCTATATCACGACATGGAATAAGATGTGTGTAATTTATATACCTGTATTGCAGGTGCTGCCCATCCAGCCGGGCCGACAATCGCAGTGGAATTGCTTGGGCACCAGCAGCGGGGTGGATTGAGCAACGGAGCCGAACATCGGAGCACCGCTGGCGGCCAGACCCGAGCCGGATCCACCGGCACCACCGCCGGATGCGGTGACTGCGTCCACGGTTCGACATTTTCCGCCATTGGCGCACGGCTCGGTGGCGCACGGATTCAGCACCACGTCGCAATTGGCGCCTCCGAACCCTTCGGGACACGTGCACGTGTATCTGTCCGGGGCCGTACTCTTGCACGTCCCTCCGTTCAGGCACGGTTCGTGGGTTCCGCAATAGTTCAAGTCTGAAACACAAAACGTAACGCGTTCAAGCAGCGGCAATGGACGGCTTGAAATGTTATACGCATCATAACAATATTATGCCGTGCGGGTAACGGGCGCGCGCGGGTTTTTCGGTTTCGCTCGCGTGCGCCGCGACGTTCACCCGGACCTCGGCGGCCGCGGCACGATAGCGGTATGTAACAGCGGCGGTCGGGGTGTTGCCGGGCACGACGACGATAAGTAATAGAGGGACGGCGCGGCGTATAATCGGTAGGTAAAGGTAGGTACGATGATATTATTATATGTTGTGCACTAGACACGGTATTTTTCGGTGTGGTATATAATATATATTACGAGACGACGACGACGACTATATACAACGACGACGATTGAGATTATTGTAATTACAACGATATCGCGGCGGGTGCGTGCAGGTAGTTGTTGTTGTTTTTGTTTCGGCGAGCGGTAGTGGGGTGGTGGCGGTGTTTGGTGATGGTGGTGGCAAAGGTGGGGCGGAAGCAGGGCGGGTTAGTGTTTTTTTTTTCTTCGTATATACACATATATATATATATACGCTATCCGCTATGTCCGTGTGATCAATTCGTCGACGAGTAATAATTTAATATACTCAGTTGCAGAGCGATGTAATAACCATAGGTATATAATGCGCGGGCTCGCGCGCGAGCGTTCGCCGGGTCCTCGATCGCTAAGCCGCCGCCGCCGCAGCCGCTGATGAAAACGAGTTTTCTAAAACCATGAGGCGGTGGCGGCGGCGGCGTGCGACTCTGCGCCCCGCCGCCGCCGCCGCGTTGTGCAACGGCGGCGGCTGCAGCGGCTGTGGAATCGTGATCCGACCGTCCCAGAATACGATTACGCGCGCGCGTGATTATTACCCGCGAGGCGGCGCGAGCAAATACGGCTCAAACCTACCTATATTATACGCGTACATGGCAAGTAGGTGGACCGATGTATACATATATTGTATTAAAATATTGTACACGCCAAGTAGGATAGGTACCTGTGCGAGCAAGTCGAAAAACTTAACCGTCGCGCGTCGTGCGAATTAATAATAATAATAACATTATAATGTGTGTTGCGCGGCAGTCACTGTTATTATTATATTATTATTACGCGGCACTGCCGTTTTGATTAATGCGCGGCGGCAGTGGCGGGCGCGACCGTCGGTCGGATTTTTACGCGCCCGCTGGCGGGCCCTATCGGAATTCGCTGTACGTTGAAAGCGACAGTGTTAGTGGGGCCCCGCGGGACAGCGGCGCAAATATTATTATTATTACGTTTCGTAATGTATATTATTAGTTTAGCATATTATAAAACATTGTCTTCCACCGATAATCGACTGTAATATTTAATATAATTAAAGTTAATACCGGTGTTGGTGGTGCTATAGCAGCATGCGACGGAAACGGAAATATTGTTATAAATTTTTAACGAAATATGGTAAACACTAAACAGTACTATCGCTCAGGACAACGACACAGCCGCACCGAAACAATATCAAACCGAATAATATGACATTATAAATTATTATTACTATTATATTATTATGTAATATATAAAAATATAATGTAAATAATATAATGTAGTAAACAATGGTCGAATATACGCTCTTAGCCTAAAAAATATCTAACATTTTCTCTTTAAAAAAATACCAAAAGTGTAAGTATATAAATAAATAATTAATTAAATCAAATGTTTTTTTTTATACTACAATTATTTATTTTTTACTATTTTTTTATAGTTTATACTTTATATCATTATTTTAAATTAAATTACTGAAATAAAAAACAGTGATAAAAAAAGAATAAATAAAGATAAAATACCCGATAAACACGATGTTCCGACTGCATAAGGAGAAATATAATACCGGAATGTTTTTTATCTATCGACAATGGTAAATACGTATATAGTCTCACGGCAATAATTTTTTCCATCCTAGTTTTTTTTTTCAATGCATTATTATTGTTGTACCATGTTTTATAAAACTATAATATACATAACAATTTAAGAAAAACAATTAAAAAGAAAATTAGTTGGTTAACAGAATTAAGAAACAAAATCATTATTGAAATATCCACTAAATGCAACAAATATTATATGCACTTAAAACTTAAGTTTTAAATTCGTGTCAGGTACTCATTGTAGAATAATATATTTATATATGTAACAAATGTATAATTTGCTCCGATATACTATTTCTTGTACTAAAGATTTACACACAAATATTATTTATTATAAGTTCTGTAGGTAGTTACTAGTTATATTATAGGTATATAATTATACCAAGACCATGAAGCTTATTATTATTGTTATACTTCGCACGATAGTTGGCGCCTATCTTGGCGCTGACCTTATTCATATTTCATTCTATCGAGAATTCGCGACTAAAAAGGTCCGAGTTGTCTTCTATATTTTTTCATGTACACACACGCACATATATATTTATATATATATATATGTGTGTGTGCGTGTGTGTGTGTAATAAATAATAATATATGATATAAATATAAACATAAAATAGTGAATACTTTAATAATTATATACGAGTATTACAGCGTAATACAAAACTAGATGTTTATTAATTATTATATACCTATCTAGGGTTTCCTTAATTTTATTTATTGTATCATAGTTGTTGACACGGAACGTTTTCACATTATTCAAAACTTTATCAATAGATTTTCAAATAGTCAACGGAATGCGATATTTATGAACGGAGAAATGAACTAGGTACCACAACAATCAAATAATAGTAATATTTTTAAGATCTTTCGTAACACAATTGGGTACGTCTTTAATAATTAGCACATAGTTGAGAGATTTAAATTACCGACCGTATTTTCATAAGTTAAAGTTGAACAGCTAATAAGTATTATCATATTATATTTCTGAGGCATTTATTATTGTATATAGTTAGTTTTTTCACAACAACTGCCTTTGTATGAATTATTATAGATCAGAATATTATATATATTATATTTATGTATAGAAATTCCAATAGGTTCCTACTGCCTACTATCCTACTATTGTTTAATATATTTAAAGGAAAAGAAGAATTTCCAAAGCTGTCAAGTATATTTATGGCGACAAACGAGTGCCTATGGGGTATAGTGTATGATGTTTCAAAATGCAATAAATCATACATTAGCATTTTAAAGTCCAAAATGTTTCAAAAATGTTTGCCCATTTTAAAAAACTAATATTTCAAATAAATTAACTATGAAAACTATGGTAAATTATTATTAATCACAAAAATTCAACAATTAACAAATACTGTTTTTCCGAGGACAGGCTGTGTGAAGTGTGATCGGATAATTATAATAATGTAATAGTTAGGTAAATTAGCATGTTATATACTAATTAGCATATACCAAATAGCAAAATTGTATGTACAGCAGTTGTAGTCGAATTATAATAATAATTTAGCGGGGGCAATAAATACTCGACGACACGATGTCGATTGATCGATGATCGCAAATTATGTGATCAATATTATAATAATAATAACAATCGTTATCGACGGCAATAACTATAACTCCCTCCCAGCACAGCAGCGACCGTACAATACCAAAACCAAACGACTTCTAAAAAAAAAACTTTCAAGCACCATTATATTGTATGAATGTATATGAATAATATATTATGTACAATACATAGGTATATTATTTTTTATTGTAAAAAGTCAATCGTGCAGTACCACCGCCGCCATATATACAACGGAGTACTGTATATAACCATGTATTAATATTATATTATAATTTACTAGTTATACTATGTATTATATTGTTATGATAAATTATTTTATACGCGTTATTATTTATTAACGACTGCCAAGAATAATGAGAAACGAAAAAAATATTTATGATAATGTCACTACCTATACTATATTATCAAATGCGATAATCTTACGAGTTACGACGAAAGTGCGAGTTGTTACGACGATCATTACCACTTCAATTTAAGGGTGTGTTGAATAATTATTTTTATAGGTGAAAAAATTGAATGCATTCAACGACATGTCACTCGCACACACTGCATATCCATATATTTTTCTTTACGCTGAAGCGGTGGAGGGCGATTATTACACCAATACACTACTCAATGGTTTAAAATACCCATAAAAAATCTAACATTTATATTATAATACGAAACGCGCGTAACGAAAAATGACGACGACGAAGACAACAATCGTCGCGCGGAACGGATTATAATTTTTATGAGCTCTAGGCGTCCCCAACCCTCCCGACATCGCCACAACCATCACCACCGTTTTATTATTATTCTATCCGATTTTTATTCATGTATATTGTATATAGGTGTATAATGTATATATATTTTTTTATCAGACCAAGCTGTCGATTGAAACCACCGATATTGCCGCCGCGGCGGGTGATTCGATACGCACCACTAATCATTAAAAAAAATCGTCACAATCGGCGAACGGACCCTAGGTATACATATATCTTCTGCAGTAATATAATAGTCACCGCCTCGAGATCGATTTTAATAAAAAATAAATAAAAAAAAATAACAATAATAATCAGGGCTGTGAATGTATAATGGCATTAATAAAAAAAATCAAAAGCACATTAGTGCCTTTATATTTATATATGCAACGGAAAATGCACTAAAAAATATGCAGTTTAATTGATGTACGATGCAATAAAAAAAAAACAGTACGTAATGTAAAATAATTCCATGTTAAAATACGAAGCATGCGAGATAAAATGTCTTATACACATTCTTTTAATTAAATGAATGGGTAAAAATAATCCAAATACCACGTCATGACTCACAATCAACAAAGAAGACACTATATATTTATATATATTATGTATAAATGTATACAGGTATATATCATCGTTGGGGCAAACGTTTGTATTGATTTCTTAGTCATGATCTTGATTCCTGAATGGTGTATACATAGAAAGGAAAATATTTATGTCCAGTGACAGATATACGGATTAAGATATTACGATACATCCAGGCAAGTATTTCTTTTGGCGCCAATAAATAACATTTCATAATATGATATCCAAAATATAAAATGTTCATACAAAGTACAATAGTTCAACCCCAAAGGATTTATTGCAAACAGGTTGCCGGCGTCGCGCTGTCCCGCACCTAAATAAATCACAATAATGGCCAACCCCAACACTGCAGCACCGTTTGTAGATATGTCAAAATATCCGAATTCTTTTAACCCGAATGTATTTATATTTATCAACAATACTATCATAACAGCGACATAACGTTAGACACAGCACACAGTTTTCGGAAATAAACTGAATTATAACTACCTCTAATAAATGATAATAATATATTATATTATAGAATTGATTTATGATGAGCGTAACAACCAAAATATGTCTTAAATTAATTAAATAAACATACGGCTAAGGTATAACATTACATGCATTCTACATCTCGTTGCGATAAATTCAAAACACTTACCTTGATCGCATAATATGCCTCCCCAGTTTACGTCACATATGCATTGCCAAGAAGTTCCATTACAATATCCGTGCTTGCATCCAGGATACGTCATACACTGATCGCATAGCTCACCCTGCCAACCTTTCCGGCACCTATTTTTATTTTAAACAAAAATATCTGTATTAATACGCTTATAAATTTTACACAGATAATTTGTGGTAAATAATATAACGATAACGGCGATGTGCCACCTTGTTTGTACTTTGTAAGTGTAATGAAAATATCAGGTCCAGTTAATGAACCGTGATAGAAGAGTAAAACGTATATTTGTCACAAGTGTTATCATTTTGAACTAATTAGAGCATTACATTTTAGTGTACATAACTTAGAAGAGAATATTTTAGGAAAAATTATTTGAACCAATATCCTCTATTCCTCTATATGAAGATTAATCCTTCCCGGCAAAAATTAATATAAATAAATAAACTGAGTTTTTAATATATATTATAACTACTCTCTGACTTTTAAATATTTAATATTATTATAATATTCGTTAGTTTAACTTTAAAGATAAAATTAAATACACGAAATGTTTCGTAACGGCAAAAAATGAATTTGTTTAATTATAAGTTGTTGGCGTGATTAAAGGGGAAGGTCGCTCGCATTTTGACCATACTATTATGATTGTCATATATAATCACATAAAATGCTCTAGGCTTTAATCTTACTAGTGGAAAATATTCAATCGAATTGTTAAGCACTACATCAAAATCTTTTAAAAAATAGCTTTTTGATATATATTCAACTTTAATTTCAATTTTTTTATTGAAAATATTTAAATTTTTGTTGACTAATAAACCGTTTATTATATTGTTTTAACATAAGTTAAACAATTTTAGCAGAGTTATATAGGAAAAGTAATTATTTTAGAATTTCGATGATGTATTCAAGGTAATTATTATTTATTTTATCATAAACCAGGAAATATGAGAGATTTTTTAAAATTTTTTTAACGTTTAAGAGATCTTATTTTTTTTAAATTTCCTTTGATGTTTAATGACTTAATTTCTAAGACATGATTATCCTAGTTCACAACAAAATCATCAGCTCACTTAAAAAAATAAGACTGTTCAGTCCATTGAAACATTCGAAACACTTTTTTCCTTCTACATAATAATGCAGGCATCAAATAGTGCTTCTATAAGCTGCACTAGCAGTGCGAGAGGATTATTAAAAAGTTATTCTTACGCCCCATACCGGAAAACTCAATATCCGTGACCTTAAACCTAGGTTAACTAGTCTGTGGTCTGAGCTACCCATGTCTCCTGCAATGTGATGCGAATACAATGTAAGTGCCTACCTATATCTACAGATTCGAAGCGGAAAATGAGGACTTACGCACTACAATCCACATAAAAAAATATGGTAAATAAATGATAATATTGGTATTACGTCTTATTATACAGAGTTTCTGCGCCGCGCCAGGCTTGGCTGTATTTGAGCGGCTTGGCCGTGGTGCGAGAGACGGTTTTAATGACGATTTTCAGATTGACGAAATTGTCAAAAACGCGTGGCTCACGAGTAGGCATACAATAATAGTATTATATTATGTTATTATATTCGAGGAATGATATCGTATCGAATTAATTAATAATATAATAATATTATAGTCTCACGCGCAGCGCAGTGACCGCCGCCTGCATCATCCTCACCACACGTTATATGCACGCATTTCGTATTCATCGGACGCCGTTGTGTGAGAACTGTACGGGGCTCGCAGACTACACGACGAAATTCCGCCGCCGCCGTTGCGTTTATTAAAATTCGGCCGGCGTACTCCCCCGCTGCCGCCGACGACCACGGCCAGGACGACGACGACGACGACGGGCGACCGAGCCCGCCGCGATAACTCTCGAAAACTTGCCGTCGTTTCCCACGCCCCCGCCTCCCCGGGCCCGCCGAACAAGCGAGGGCGGCGGGCCGCCGGACCGTGTGCTGGCCAGAGTCCAACGACGACGAAACCGTACCGCCGGTGACTACGGCGTCGTGTTTACGATATAATATTATATTATATATATGCCCACACGGCGGTTTTCATGATACGAATACGCGATGATGAGTATGACGGCGGGCAACAGATACCACATGCAGATGGGGAGTAGTGGGAGCCTTGAGGGGTACCCCGAAATTCGTTTTGGATTTACCTACGAATGCCGGATTTGATATATTTATTATTGATTTATGTTTTGTTGATGATGTTAGGCATGCTGTGGAGCTTAAACCACCCCTTCCCCAAGGGTAGATGGTTCTAATATTGTACCGATACGTGGATCGATAAGCCGCAATACACGGCAACTATTATGCATAAAGCGTGTTAAATTTGGTATATAGATATTTAAACATAATACCAGCAAGGGTCAATGCCGCAGTGAACAAATAATGTTTTCTCGAATTCTATTTCTACCCATATTGATTTATGCATATAAAATGAAAAACGGTCTTCTTTATCAATGGTTTTCTAACCTTCGTTCGCACCCGGAAACATCCCAAATGTAGGCGGTGTAGAACCAGTGTACATAATACTAAGGATGGTCTTTAATTGTACCAATACCTATACATTATCATTTCATCGTTTACGTGTTAGCGAGGGACAGTGAAGTGGCCGCAGTGCGGCAATAAATCACAGGATCTGTACCTATAAGTTGTGCAATGTGCACCGCGGGTAGCTACTGCAGTCCCACGGAAATGGCTGTCCGATTTTACCGTCAAAATATTTGAAACACATATAACTCTTACAATATAGTGAATAGTGATGGGCATAAATATTGCGTTAATAATTTGATAAATCATAATATTATATAGGTGCACATAATATGATTGCGATAACCGTAACGGGAAGAGGATATACCCGGCAGGATTCATTTCGGCGACCACTCTGTCACATATCTAGTTGCGCAACCTTTACATTTTAAGTCGATGGCCGAACAGCAATTGCCGGTGGACCGCTTTATATCCTCTTTCCATGTATTATCACCGACGACGCATTATCAACCATAATAATATAACAGTTACTGTTATCATTGACGGCGACACATTGACGGCAGCACACCGAACATCGAGGCCGCCATCGCATCGTCGCCGTCGTCGTATATTATTATTATATTTATAATAACCACGCGTAGGTTTTTTCGATATAATTGTAAGTGTACATATATAACGGCTGCAGCTGTAACTACAATAATATGTATATACTTACTCGCAACCTCCGGGATTACCGCAATGTCCGTGTACGGGATTGCATCCGGTCTTGCACACAGCTGTAAATAAAAAAATTTTAAAAAACGTGATTAATATTAACACTAAATATAGTGAACCGTTTAACTATCGTTTATATAGTAAAATTATTTAAAATTAACGAGGAGAGGGGGTAAATTTAAGAAAATCCAGTCACTTACCTTTGTCGCACGTCTCGCCCTGCCAGCCGGGTATGCACTCTTTCCGGCCGTCTGTGTCGCCGCACGTATAATGGCCGAACCGGTCGTCCCGGGGCTTGCAAAGCTTCGTGCAATTTTGTCCGTAGTAGTTGCGATCGCATCTAACCCGGACCCTGTACGCCATGCGAGCTGTGTGGCCTAAGTGTGACAGAGCTTTCCACTCGTTGCCAGGCAACAGGATACCGGAATACGTGGCCTCTTCGATAACGGACAACAAGCCTGCAGGAATACGCATTATAAAAATGATGAGTTACAACTTTACAATCAAACTGCTTTAATAGTTGGGTGTGTATATATCATTTCACGATTATAATTGATATGTTATAATAACACTCGACACTTTCATTTTCGAGTACAATTCGTTATAATTGTTAAATATATAGTATAAATAGTATTTTCCATACGATAAGCACACAAATTATATCAAAAGCGCAATAATTATGTGATTGTCGTTCATATTGCAAGATATCGGGAGATATTTATGAGCACGGCTTATAGACCATAGATTATACCTCCTCCTCCAGAAAAATGTATGGTATAAACTGTTTTTGAAATAGTAAAATAAAATAAAATAAAAGGATTTAGATTTATAGTGTTTCTTAAAAATTGAAATATAAAACTTATCATAGAATACTATGTATAATACATAGGCAGGAACTTATGATCAAGTACACATGTTCTATTATTTATTTCATAGAAAAGACAGTACTTTCAGTACTACTACTACTAGCTACTACTAGCACCTAAGAAAACATGAAAAATACTTCGATGGTCATAATAGCCAATATATTAATACCGTGGTGTTCGTTCAATTGTATCTACGTCACGACCATCAACCGGATCGAATCCTTCGCACAAATTTATTCATGTTCACGGAAAAAAAATAATTACGAACGTTTAGTAAAACACTTATTATTTATATAGGTATTATATACATCAATGTGTTATGTGTTATACATTTTATTATAGAAGAACGATTATTCTTTATAGGTGAAATTATTTATTAGAATATAATTAAACTGTTATGACTACATAGTAAACACCTAAGTATAATAATATTAAAGTTTGTCCGAATTATAATAATATTATGTCTGTGAATCTGTGATGTTTACTATACATATTTTATGTTGTGATTATTAATTATAATAATCGGTCAAATTAAGTTAATAACGTGGTTGCAGGTTGGTTTCTGATCGGAATAACTATATAATCATTTGACTAAATAACGATGTTTTCGTGTAAACCAGATATAAATTGTATAGTTGTTACGGACAGTAATAATTATACAATTATGGTTAATCCTATTATTCCTGTGTTACGGAATCGACTGCTCTTTTTTTTGTCCGTGTCGCGGACGTTTTCGACTCGACCGCCACCGGACGAAAAGCCCGTACCGCGCCGCCGCCGATTCGATTCGGTGCTTGCCGCTCTCTCAGTTGTATGTTGTATATTATTATTATTATTATTATGTTATGTTGTACATATATATAATAATAGTTGCAACGGACAACACACACACACGCACGCGCCTGCGCTCAACAATACCTAGTATAACAACGACGCGCGTGGAATTGATTGAGACGATTTTTTATTCCTTCTTCTATTCTCCTCTGTCCGTTTCTTAGGCGTTTCGCCTTGGCTACCCTTTTTTTTCCTCCGTTCCGTTGTTCACGCGCGTTTATCTCTCCGCCGTAGGTAGGTGTACAACAATAGGCGTCGTCGTCGTCACAATCACACACAAACACACACACACACATACAGACATACGGACGAACGGACGGACGATATACATCATATTATTATTATTATTATTATTATTATTATATAAATGTGTGTGAAAACAAAAAGAATATATACTACGACAAATCTTTCAATAGTGCCCGTATAGATAGGTACAGAGTAATATAGTAATAATGAAAATATAACAACACAATAGTAATAAAACCGTCCCGCCGCCGCATTCCTACACGGAATTGGAAATTGGAATCGTATCGAACGCTGTACTATTATATATTATTATTATTATTATAGCTATAAGTAATAATAATAATATAATATATAGTGTCCGGAGTGTATAGTAATAATAATTTTATTATATTGTATAAGTACTAGTAGTTGTACAAGTACCGATGATGATGGTAATATACGACAATATCATCGTTGCCGTGCCATCGCTCGTCGTCGCAACAGCGTATGTGGCCCCAGTGGAATGGGACGTGACGCCGCCGCCGCCGCCGTCGCAATACCGCGACGAAACGACGGCTACGATTGTTGTGATGATGATGGGCTTACCCACCGCAGTCCCGATATCAATACGTACAGTACAGAATATATATGAACATAATCCGACAACCGGACGACGACGACGACGACGACGACGACGACGACAACAACAACAACAACAATAACAAAAATATACGTCTTCGATCGTCTCATCCCGTATAATATTATATGTGCGCGTATAGTATTGACGAGGGTCGACGACGATTACACCGAACTCGTTCGCATTGTGCGTGTGTATGCGTTGTGCGTGGGCGTATCGTATATGTGTGTATACCGTATATATATATATATATTTGCCGGCCGAGTCACGTCGAGCCATATATACAATGACAACGACGACAATAATATATTAATAATAACGATGTATTTATATTATTATATATTATGTGACATTATCGTTTTATGGACTCGCGCGCTCGCGACATACATACCACGTTCAATCGAGATATATTATGAATATTATTATTATTGCCGTACAAGTATTATGTAGACTATAATAACAATATCTTTTCTAATTATTATTGCGCTTATTGCTATTGCTTAGTATAAATATCACAGCGGCCGCTTACCCGTGTAATTGTTGTAGTCCATCGCTTGCAATACTAACGTAAACGATCTCTGCAACAGAAAAAAACCAATAAAACCATTAGATACCTAGTGATATAAAATACACATATTATTATTCTATACAATAATAATAATATTCTTGGTATGATAATATTAATATTATGCAGTCTTAATAGTTTTATGCTCTTAAAACCTTGTACAGACTACAATTTTTGTTTACAATTTAAACGACAATCATATTATAATATTGTTATCATCGTATTCGACGACGGACTGCAGTATTGTTCCGATTTGCGGTGCGTACCTGAAGATTTTCAAACGCGTCTTCCGAGCTCGATATGGCCGTACGCCGATATCGCGGACGGCGGAACCAACTCGGCGGAGCAAGAAACCACGATAAATTACGTATTTTATATTTTATCGTCGTCGGCGACGTTGTTGCTGCAGTTATGTTATATGCAGTGGACACGCGCACGCGCACGAACGAAATGTCCGCCGAGTCCGCTTATTTTTACATTCTTCCTCCGTTTGTGTGTGTGCGTATACAATATACAATATACATACAAGTGCGCACTGCTGCACGTACGTACATTTGCGTACGATGTTTTTGCACCCCCACCCATTACCCACCCCCTCGTCGTAGACCGCCGCCGTGACCGTGTACGATATTTGTCGTAGTCGAGACGATGGCCGCCGCCGAGTCGAGCTCGCGCTCGCGCGCGCGCGAGCTCAACGATAAATCATCATCGCGGACGGCGCGACCAGAGAAACCGCAACCAGAGGAGTATATACGCGTACTGGTATATATACTAAAACACACGAGATATTATAACAACACTGCGACACACACACACACACACACACGCCTATACAGGTATATTATATTATATTATTATAATATTGTGTGTACGCTATAAAAAAAAGTACGACGACCAACTCCTACGCGAACCACTGCACCGCTGTCACGGCAGACACGATTTCTACCTATATATAATATTATAAACGGTCCGCGCACAATTTGCTGCACCACGGAAACCGCCGCGAACATGTTATACCGCGGGCGGTATATAGGGTCCATTGAGACTCTGGAGCGTATACCTCGTAACAAGTCTAACAACGATCGATAGGAACCTAGCACACGGTGACTGCAGACGCGCACTTTACCCGTTTTTCATTTTTTAGTTCCTATATTATAGTTCTCGGATGCAGTCATAACTCTGCATAGCAGTGTGGTGAGGGGACGTTAAGTTTCAGATTATGTACAATATCTTAAAAAATATCCATCGTACTATCGTATGGACAACGAAACCGTGTATGGTAACTTTAAGCTTTGAAGTTTTATTCGAAAAAAAAACATTACATTTTAAATTTTAAACTTTTATATTTCGGATGTATATTAATAGTATTTCGATTAAATGTATATTGAAATGTTAAATATTTGTTGCACTATAAAGTATACATGTATCAATACAGACATTGGTCGCAGTTGACGAAAAAGAGTCGGTATAGTAATTATTGATAGCAATTCTCTATACCTATATAGGTGTAAATATACATAAATTCCCCGGTCGGCACTCTAATAATCGTAATATTTAGTTAGGTGTATCCATTAATTCATAAAAATAGGTTTAAAAATAATATATTAAGTCGACATTGTATCTCCTAAGGGTGTATACTCCACTGTCGGTTGTAAATTGAAACGTGGTGTGTTGGGTTTTCGATCGGCAACATAACATATTTAAAATATTCGCATTTTAAAAAGTTTTTACAGGTAATATGATGACGGTACACGCATCCGTTTTCCACTGAATATGTATGTATATTAAAATATCGAGATTGACAAAAAATTCCAATTGCATACGTTACAGTTTACGAGCCTACCGTCGCCGCCCGCAAAGAAACCGTCACGTCATCACAATCTTCGGCTGTTACGCCTAAATAAGCCATAACCCGTCCACCGCCGTTTTTCCGCCGCGTCACCGGCGCGTAGGACGCGTGCGTGCCCGACCGGTCACCACCGCGGCGGCTGCAGCGGTGCAACAATCATAATAATAAAAATGATGATAATAATAATAATAAAGCCGCGACGGCGGCGTTTTTCCGCTACGTCACGCCACCGCTCTACGCTCTATGTGGTACACATATACACTAACGACTGCGGTACACGCCGCGGACTAATTGCCCGGTCGCGGACGACTGTATTATATATTGTGCGCGCGCGGCGGGTGCTATACGGCCAGGTCGTCCCGCGAACGAGCCCACCGCACACGGCCGCGGCGGGACCTAATATCCATTATTATTATTATTATTATTATTATTATATCGTCTGGGCTGGCGGCGGCAGTTTAACGACGCCACGATATGATAAACGACGACTCGCGTGTAATCACCACGGAGGGGCCCGTTCGCGCGCAACGAGGAAATTAAGAGATCCGACGGACGGGCCCGCTAACGAGGTTGTAAATACACAAGGCGATCCGGCAATGCAACAGGCACTTCCGCTTTGCACGACGGCGTCGCCGAAATAAGTCATCCACTGCATATAACGAAACTCGAATTATTGGCTTGTGCGGTTCGGAAGTCCGTGGTATGCGGATAGGTGATGTGTTAGCTTAGGTGTTGGGTCGTCCCTTTGGACCGCGGGCACTACAATAATCCGACTCGTGTGCTCCACAAATCCAACTATCGGCCGTCTCCACTTTTTCTGATAAACATTAATGTTGTCAAGATTTCGGTGAAATGATTGAGCATTATTTTATTAAAATGTGGAGATGGAAAGCTGCGGTACTTACTATTATCTTCGCACATTGTTTTCGCAGATACAGTATTGTGCAATGAACATTTTCAACTAGTTTCATCAAGTAAAGATACCAAGGTATAATACCTTTTACCTCAAAGATATTATACAATAAAAGAGTTTCTGCGATTCTGTTTTATAACTTAATAAAACCAAAAACTGTCCATTTGTCATCATACTGAGCTTGTTTCGAATGACTTTGACCTTATATTTTTATAATGCCGAACTATAGCTTTGTCCCAATTTGATGGAATTTTGAAAGTTTTCGGCCATGGTAACAGATTCAGTTTTTGTTCACGCTGGTCCAAGTATAACAATATTGCCGTATGGTGAGCTAATCTAACCGACTGCGCAGTATAATTCGTCTTTTTAGGGTCTCGGTGCAATATAATACGACCAGTTTTTCCCGTTGTGGCTGTTCGCGTATATGTTATATGTATGCATGTGTATTTATACAATTATGATTAGATCAACCAGGGCTTTGAATCACTCTCAAGACTCAACCCACGCATAACAAGGATTCCAGAACTTTTATCGAAACCATAATATGTGACAAATGTATAACATACCGGTTTGTTTCGTTCAAATGCGATTCCAATGAATACGATATCAATATATTATCATAATTCATAATTGAGTATGGGACCTTTTAGACTTATTCTTTTACACACTACACCTTATACAGGGGGAGATAACAGGAATAAGACGGGATGAAAAGCATTCCGTTCGAAATTTATCGAAACAAGGGATCCTGATGCTCAAAAAAAGACAATCCCGTTTTAACCGGGACGCTTTTACTGAATGAACATCCTAAATTGAATACTTCCCTACAAATACACAATATGTCTATACAACATTGTTACCATAATATAAAAGCTCATTGATGTAATACCGGAGGTTTGTGAAACGATTCGATCTACAATCACACAGTTCATAAAAGTCAAGAGACCTCGGGACTGAGGTCCACGAGGACGATAATAGTCACTAAGTCGTCGTTGTTAAGAGAATGATTTCATAGAGAAGCTATATAATATACACCGCAGTTGATCATACTTAAATTATTACAATAATTGTGAATACTGAATACTTGTTTGTTATTATCTATGGTTGCTTATAGCCACCTATACCGATATTTATTACAATAGGAGAATTTTTTTAATCACTGCTTAACTGGGAAAAGTAATATAATACCGTATTAATATTTTAATATCGCTCCAATGTATGTTTTTTTCGATAATAATATACTATTTTGAAATCGTAAAATACAATATAACTTTGAAACCATTCCAATTAATTTAACTTCCGCCTCACGGTGTTCCGTCCACCGTGTGACCATCAAACCATCTGCCCTTCTATTTAATTAATATATTTTGTATACACGATCTACCCCGGGAGATTAAATGCTTTTTAATTTAATTCTTTGCAGATGGTGCTATAAACTCATTTACAGAATAATTGAAGATATAAATAACAAATTATTGTGTTGAGCTAATTTGGTTAGACAAATTAACTGTGCCTACTGCGGTTAATGATAATATGTTTTTAGGCATATGAAAATGTTAAGTGCTAAATTAAACACCTACCTACGTGAACCAAAACAGGTCAATTATAAATCCTAAATGTATATTATATATTATTATTTAATCGTTTTATTTCAAATATTGATCTATATTAACATTATATTTTTATAATTTAACTTGTCTACTATACAGGTGAGTTTTAATTTCCTTTAGACTAGTTTCCTCTATAGGTATACAGTAGGTACTGTCCAATACCAATTAACTATCACACCATATCAGTCACAACTCACAACTCACAAGTATAATATAAGAATTCAAAAAACACATTTATAATTCATTAGACGTAGGTCCATAAACTCCGACCAGTATGTTTTGTTTTTTAAATGTGTGTAGTTTGGTTCTGTTAATTCAGACGTGCATATTATATCTGATTACAGGAGAACTATTCTATAAGTGTCACATTTTTTTCTTCATTTTAACTGTATCGTACGCATTTATTTTGTTGTTTAAATTGTTATGAATAACAATATACTAACCATACATTAAAATTTGACATCGATTAATGATGAACGAACAATCGTTAAATTTTGTATTCTATAAAACCTATAAATGTGATCAAAGGTATCACGACGTTCGTTAATGGTGGAAATAAATAAATGCCGTTTATAATGTATTCCACACGGTGTGAGTGTTCTCTAAAACGACGGAGTGTCATCGAAATCGCTGATGACCAT